AAATCAATTACTATTCTACTAACCTGCTATTCACAGAATCTTATTACCTGAAGAATGAGGGAGTCCAGAGCAACTCTGTGGATTTCAGGCACAGGATAAGGTGCGAAAGCATTGTAGTCAGATTCTGAGTAGAGCCGGTAGCAAACGCCCGGACCCGTACGACCAGCTCGACCTTTTCTCTGCTCAGAGCTGGCTCGGCTGATCCAGAACTCTTGTAGGCGTTGCATCTTGGCTTTAGGGTCAAAACTCATTTCTTTCACCTTTCCTATAAAGCAAGTTAAAAAAAAACAACAACAATTTTTATAGTTGCTGTTCTACTTTTAAGTAGTGCGTTATTTTGCTGTCGCTAACAATAGCATTCTCTATTTTAAAAGCTAAACAAGAAAATGTAGCTTTGCACATTCAACTTCTCTGAAGCCTTTTACGTCCTCATTTAATTACGTTTTGTCATTTAAAACAAAGCTTTGCTGCAAAATTTAAATTTCAAGGATGTACCATCAAACTCTAGGGGGTGAGAATAAATGTACCACTCGTTCCATACCTGAATCAACAACAAAGCGCACTCCATCTATTGTGACTGATGTCTCCGCAATATTGGTAGAGATGATGCACTTTCTCACCCCAGGAGGAGCAATATCAAACACCTGAAGAGTAACACGGTGACAGAGGCACAATTAGAATTAGAAAGTCGTAACTCTAAATAACAGCTTCAAAGCTGACTGTACCTTATCCTGCTGAGCAATTGAGAGGGTGCTGTGCAGTGTTAAGATTATCCAGCGACGTGTGTGTGTGGCATAAATCTGACAGGCCTCCTGGATGGTGGAGATCTCTGCCACGCCGCTAAGAAAGAGCAGCAGGTCACCACGCTCCTCTGGGGGGTAACGCTGATCGATGCCCTGCAGGATGCGCAGATACGGTCTAGGATCCAGTTTCTCAGACTTTGAGGACTGCTCTTCAGGAGGAATGGGCTGGTAAATAACCTAAGTACCATGCCAGAGGGGAAAAACAGGACATTAAACAAAAACAACTCTCAGACATGTCTGCTACTTTGATACAAAATTTTACCATTTAAATTTGTAAATAGAAACCAACACCTAGACTACCAAAATTTGAGGACTTAAAACAAATACAGCAAGTACAATAATTTTTTAAAAAGTGGCTTTTTTAAAACTTCAATCATTTGACTTGTTGTTTGCATTTTATCCTAAATTAAAATATATATATATATATAAAGAATAAAAATGTTTTGGCCCAGTATCTTTTCAGTGCATGTTTTTTGCCTACTAGATGCAAGATGCAAAGTTTTAAAAATCACATCATCTCGAGTAAAATGCATATTTACACCTGTGTTTAGGGTTTGCCTCTGGTTACCTGAATAGGAAACAGCCTGCCTGGGACCTGCAGTACAGGAGCACCACTGAAATAGTTAGAGAACAGTTTGATGTTGATGGTGGCTGACATGAGGATGAGACGTAGGTCTGGGCGGTCAGCCAGCAGAGAACGCAGGACCCCGAGAAGAAAGTCACAATGGAGGTGTCTCTCATGGACCTCGTCAACAATCACAACCTGGTACCGAGCCAGCGTACTGTCCTGCTGGATCTGTCGAAGCAGCAGCCCCTCTGTAAGGAACAGCAGCTTGGTTGCTGCGGTTCGACTTGTCTCAAAGCGGATCTGGTACCCCACCTGAAAAAGAC